GCCTGTCAGAAATTATAGCACGTCAGCTGTCTTAACCGCGGCTTGTGTACTGCATCATCACTGTGTCTGTCACGCGACTCTGTTCCCCTTTCGGGCTCTGTCTTTACATTTATTTTGAAAGATGAAGCTCGTGAGTCGCGATTATGGTAACATTTCCGACGAGTGCTTGCGGTGTTCGGCCAATCACAATGCACTGGGTCAGCTGGCCAATAAGAGCAGACTGCGCTTGTCGGAAGGAGGGACTTTGTAGAAAACGAAGCGTTTGAGAGAGGCGGGGCATAGAGGACCTACAATAATGTACAGTATTTGAAAAATAATGTGTTTTTTGAACATTAAAGCATGTCAACATATTCTGTTACACCAAATACACAAAATAATGATCTTTAAAAAAGCATCATATGACCCCTTTAAATATTTTTGAAAGAAGTCTCTTGCACTCACAAAGGCAGCAATCATTTGACCAAAAATACAGTTAAAACGGTAATATTGTAAAATATTACAATTTAAAATAACCGTTTTTTTTATTTGAATATATTTTTAAATGTAATTAATTACGGTGATGGCAAAGCTGAATTTTCAGCATCATACAGTCTTCAGAGTCACATGATCCTTCAGAAATCATTCTAATACATTGACTTGGTACTCAAGAAACATTAGAAAAATAGAAATCTTTTGTAAATATTATAAATGTCTTCAATGTCACTTTTGATCCATTCAATTAGTTTTTTCTAAGGAAAAAATATATATATTTATTATATAATATATATATATATTTTTTAAATAAATAAATTTATTTATTTACTGACCCCAAACAGTAGTGTATATATTGATGTTATATTGCCAACTTGCTTAAATATAAGTATCAATATTGTCTATATCAATATTGTATCAAAATATCTCATCATTTATTGCCTTTTATGTGCAGTATACATAAAATTTAGTGGTGAAACTAAATTTCACTCAGAAATTGCTAGTAATTTTCACAAGTAATTACAAAGAAATGGCAAGTAACATATGAACATGAATTAAACATTAAATTTTTAAGTACAAAGACTGAAATAGTATTTATTTATAAATGAATAATCTTCAATTCTAACATGGAAAAATATTTTTACAATAACAGGGTGACAACAGCAGGGCATGTATAGTGATTGTATATCAATAACTGAATAGATTGGGCAAAAACTCTGTGGAGTTTGTGTTTTTACCTAATTTTTGTCAAAAAAAAACAAAACCAAAAATGTTATTTTAAAACCACAAAACATTTCATGTGATATTAATACTAACATTTTCATATGATATTAATACTAACATTTTTATGCATAATATATAATGTAGTAATAATAAGTAGTAGTAGTAGTGTTGTCAGCACAGTAGTGTCACTCACCAGCACCTCCCAGAAGTTTGCAGGATGTTTTGTTACATTGTAACACCTTCCCCCGTTCTTTACTACTATCTTCGAGAGTTCTTCCATTCTAGAAAGTACCAGTCAGACCTCCACCGCCCCAGCTGTTGGGACACACACCTCCTCCCCCCTCCCATCAGTCGGCTCAGGACATTTGCTACCGATTTCTCAGCTGTCATTCCCTCTCCCTAAATAGACCGTATCAGAGAAGGGCCATTTCAACTGATACAAGGGGTGTCCACCTATCTGCAAACTAAAATTAATCTACCATCACTGGAATAAACAAACAGCATGACGTGGAATAGAGACAAAAACTGAAAGATATAATCACAGGTTGTCACTGGTAAGATGCATAATGCATTTGTATGAACAGGTGGGGTGGATGAAGACCTCGCCACCCCTCATAATAAAATGGATCCATCCGTTATCCTGGTATGTTCCCCCCCATGTGCAAGATATATATAAGTGACTCTTGGGGGGCTGCTACGACTGATAAACCCAAACGAGAAGAAACTACACACAGGACAGACTTTCCTCTTACGAAGAAGCAGAATCGACTTCAATGAAGGTATGTAACTATGATCACATGCAAGAGTGCTTGTATTTGAATGCATAATCTATAGAGTTATAGTGGTCAGAAAGGGGAATATATATAATGTACAGATAACAGAGGTTGCCATTGACTGTGTGCAGTATTGTGGAAGTCAGACCTCTAAGGAGGCCACACTGTTGCCCAAATAAGGCATGAGGGTCAGACAGTTAAAGTCAGAGATAACATGTGCTTGACCATTTGCTTGAGAACACTGGAAGATTGGCACCCAAAAAGTAAGTTTGAACATGTTTTGATGTGCTACGTTTAAATGTTGCAAGAATGAAGAATGTGTTAGGATTAAAAGTGTGTAATTAATACAAGACACGTTAATTTTTTTCTCTCCATGCGCTGGTCAATTTTAAAATTTTTCATAACATGTTGTTTCAGACTAGTGGAAACAAAACATCCAAAATATGCTTTCAAGTGTTTATTTCATACACACACACACACACACGTATATACATATATTTATATATACATATTTAAATAATACAATAATAATTGTAATAATATTAACAATGACATAATTTTTTAACGAGATGAATTCTGCTACTTTAGTTACAAAACCATGTCATTTAACTTTTATATATATATTTTTTTTTTTAAATATAATAATAATTCTAATAATATTAATAATTACATCTTTTTAGAGGCTAATGCTGCTGATTTAATGTTGTGTGCAAGTATATTGTCTGAAAGCTCAATCAAAATATGTTTAAATGCAACACTTGAATGAATTTGACTGACTGTAAACAGAAAAGAGTTGGATGTGAACAATATGCTACCTTTTAAATGGTTACATTCTCTGTTAGATGGGAGAAATCGCAGATCCAGTCCAGTTAAAGGAAGAGGGCAACAAGCACTTCCAAGCCGGAGAAATCGACAAAGCCATTGAGTGCTACACTAAAGCCATTAAGTTCTCTAAAGACAAGAAGGCGCTGGCAGTCATCTATAGAAACAGATCAGCCTGTTTCTTGAAAAAGGTAAGAATCCTTTACACATTACAAGCCTATATAGAACACATCATATTTCTGAATTAATTTAATCCAATGTCTTGTTTTCCAGGAAAATTATAACAATGCAGTATCAGATGCCACTAAAGGTAAAATGATTCAGAAATTAATAATTCTTTTTAAAATATTTTTGTTCTGGTTTCAGGTTTCATTATACCATCAAACAGCAACATTTTACTATCGATCCATTAAAAAATCAGTTTCTTCTGACCAATTGCAGCTATCGATGTGGATGCCGCAGACATCAAGGCTCTGTACAGAAGATGTCAAGCGCTCGAGAAGCTTGGCAAACTAGACATGGCCTTCAAGGACGTCCAGAGATGTGCAACCTTAGAGCCGAAAAACAAGACGTTCCTCGAGACCCTCAGAAGACTCGGAGCTGAGATCCAACAGAAGGTGATGATCATTTCTGTCAAGATGCTTTTGAGTTCACATAATGCACATCTGAGTTTCTAAAGAGCATATCTGATTCTCTCCACAGCTGAAAACAACCTTCTCAACAGACTCCAGAGTACAGAACATGTTTGACATCCTATTTGCAGATGAATCAGATAAAGAAAAGCAAGAAAAGGTTTCTGTTCCCTTTTAGTTTAGAAGAGTAAAGCAAAAGCTAAATTAATGTTAAACACAGTCACTTATTTCTCAGTAAAACTGAACAACATGTTTGTTGGGTCCACTAGGCTGCCAACAACCTGATTGTCCTAGCCAGAGAGGACGCGGGTGCAGAGAGAATATTCCAGAACAACGGTGTGCCTTTACTCATGCAACTCATTGACACAGGAAAACCTGATATGATTCTGGCTGCCATACGAACCCTGTCAGGAATGTGCACAGGCCACAGAGCAAGGGTGAGGAACAGCAAAAGAATCATTTTCTAATCTTTTTTCCCTAAAAATATTTAACCATCCTCACAAAATTGCACCAATTAAGATAATTACGATTGTAAATAAATATGTATATATAATAATATGAGACTTGTTTTTTTTAGAGAATTTGTTAAATTAATTAATTAGTATTATTTTTTGTTTTATTTTATATTAAAATAAGATGTCCCCTATTTTTAATCAAAAATGTATGTGAGGGGGGGAAATCTTTTTTTTTTTAATGAATTTGCTTATTTTTGTGGGTAAGAAAAATATCCCTAAATCAACATACTCTCTGCATTTATTATTTGGGGGTAATAAACTATATAATCCTAAAAATATTTAAACATCCTCACAAAATTGCACCAATTAAGATAATTACGATTGTAAATAAATATGTATATATATTAATATGAGACTTGTTTTTTTAGAGAATTTGTTAAATTAATTAATTAGTATTATTTTTTGTTTTATTTTATATTAAAATAAGATGTCCCCTATTTTTAATCAAAAATGTATGTGAGGGGGGGAAATCTTTTTTTTTTTAATGAATTTGCTTATTTTTGTGGGTAAGAAAAATATCCCTAAATCAACATACTCTCTGCATTTATTATTTGGGGGTAATAAACTATATAATATAAAAATATATATATAATATAATATAATATTTCATGCACATATTAAGATATTAAGATGCTGTATTATATATTATATACAGTGGTGTGAAAAAGTGTTGTCTCGGCCCCGCCCCACTCGTCACATTTATTTTGTTTTCTTTCTGGTAATCTGGAACATTTTATGAAAAGTCAAATAGCCCAAAATTTTAAGACTGACCAGTGCCTGATAAAACAATGGGTCTCATTCACTAATAATTGCATGGATTATTTCGTATTTGTGCACACGGAAAATGTCAGCCTAATTCACAACACGAGCATACACACTGGATTTGTACCTTACTTAATGATAAAGCAACTGTACATAAAATTGTGTATTTTTGCAACTTTGGAGACCTCTAAAGTTAAGTGAGTGTAATTCACTGTTGTAAATATATCACTGTCGTAATTACAGTGGATAGCTGTACCAGAGATTGACTTGTTATTGGGAGATGTGAGGGGGTCTGTAGTACTTACCATTGGAAAAAGCGTAACGGCTAACTTGGATCACGCGCGGCACCTCAGCCAATCATACAACGGCCTCTGATCTCCTTCCCTGAGTACAGCCAAAGCCGCATTAGCCATTTTTTGGCTAAAGGTTGCAGGCTTCGAAACGCAATTGGGCTAGTTTTGAGTAGCGATTGGGCGGTTTTCTTGTGAAAACCTGGCAAACCTGATTCGTACCCACTCACTAAACTCAAATACTCCCAGAACAGACGTTTGGGGGAGAGTGTGAGAAAGAAAAGAAGCCATTCACTTATTAGAAGTCGGTTTACCATCAGAATGATTTTGAAACAGATTTTTCATGCTAAAAACGTATATACAGTTGCTTTAATGAATTTGGAGTATTCTAAATGAGCGACCGTGTGCCCGAAGATAGGTATTTGCATAAAACGCGCCCAAAGCATATCCATATAAGGGCTTTCTGCACAACCTTTTCTTTCATAGCCTTTTTTGTAATATGTAACCCTGGACCACAAAACCAGTCATAAGGGTCAATTTTCCGAAATTGAGATTTATACATCATCTGAAAGCTGAATAAATAAGGTTTCCATTGATGTATGGTTTGTTAGGATAGGACAATATTTGGCCGAGATACAACTATTTGAAAATCTGGAATCTGAGGGTGCAAAAAAAATAAAAATACTGAGAAAATCACCTTTAAAGTTGTCCAAATGAAGTTCTTAGCGATGCATATTACTAATCAAAAATTAAGTTTTAATATATTAACAGTAGGAAATTTACAAAATATCTTCATGGAACATGATCTTTACTTAATATCCTAATGATTTTTGGCATAAAAGAAAAATTTCACATGCCAGTTGCTTAGTACACATGCAGATTTCACATGCCAATTGCTTAGTACATACACATGATTGTGCTGCTAGAAGGACAGAAAAGACATGATTTCATGTAATGTTTTTATGGAAATGTCTCAAAAAACAGGTCTGAAGAAGATTCTGAAGGTCTGTGGTCAGGTTCCAGACCTTCCGGATCAGTTGCCGTTGACGGAAAACACGCAGCTGATTGCTAGCGTTCTTCTCAACAAGGTCTACGATGACTTGCGCTGTGACCCTGAGAGAGATAACTTCAGAGATGTCTGTGATGAATACATTAAGTAAGTTCCTCTTTCACCACAAAATTACTGTATTTGTGACCCTGGACCACAAAACCAGTCATCAGGATCAATTTTTTTTAATTGAGATTTATACATCATCTGAATAAATAAGCTTTCCATTGATATATGGTTTGTTAGGATTGGATACAATCTGGAATCTGAGGGTGCAAAAAAATCTAAATATTGAGAAAATCATCTTTAAAGTTGTTCAAATGAAGTTCTTAGCTATGCATATTACTAATCAAAAATTAAGTTTTGATATATTTATGGTAGGAAATTTACAAAATATCTTCATGGAACATGATCTTTACTTAATATCCTAATGATTTTTGGCATAAAAGAAAAATCTATAATTTTGACCCATACAATGTATTTTTGGCTATTGCTACAAATATACCCCAGCGACTTAAGACTGGTTTTGTGGTCCAGGGTCACATATAAATGTCATCTTAACATGATTAGAAGGCTGCCCAGAGTATGTACTGTTTGCATATGTGTCAAATTTCATAACTTTTGAATATCCTTTAGTATGAAACTTTTTGGTGCATAATGATTTGTTTGTAAAAAAGTTTGTATGCAGATTTCACATGCCAATTGCTTAGTACATACACATGATTTGTGCTGCTAGAAGGACAGAAAAGACATGATTTCATGTAATGTTTTTATGGAAATGTCTCAAAAAACAGGTCTGAAGAAGATTCTGAAGGTCTGTGGTCAGGTTCCAGACCTTCCGGATCAGTTGCCGTTGACGGAAAACACGCAGCTGATTGCTAGCGTTCTTCTCAACAAGGTCTACGATGACTTGCGCTGTGACCCTGAGAGAGATAACTTCAGAGATGTCTGTGATGAATACATTAAGTAAGTTCCTCTTTCACCACAAAATTAGGATCATATATAAACATACACACGTATCCTATGTCGCTGGTTTCCATCAACAGGAGTAAATTTGACCCCAACGACATGGACAAAAACATCCATGCCATCAATACTCTATCAGGCCTTCTACAGGGGCCTTTCGACGTGGGCAACGTCCTTGCGGGTCGTCAGGGTGTTATGGAGATGATGGTGGCCCTTTGTGGTTCCGAGCGTGAAGTGGACCAGTTGGTAGCAGTGGAGGCCCTCATTCACGCGTCCACCAAAACCAGCAAAGCCTCCTTCTTCATCAGCAATGGAGTAACTCTGCTGAAGGACATGTACAAGAAAACTAAAAATGAGAAGATCAAGATCAGAGCCCTTGTGGTGAGCAGACACTTTACACACTATTCAAACTGTGTTTGTTGTAGTGTTCATTAGTTATTAAACAAGAGCAGTTGTTGTATTTTGCATATTTAACATAATATATCCAATTTCTTTTCTCAGGGTCTGTGTAAACTGGGATCCGCTGGAGGAGATGATTACAGCATGAGACAATTTGCTGAGGGCTCCACTGAGAAACTGGCAAAGCAGTGCAGAAAGTGAGAATGCTAGAGCCATATCATTAGAAATTACATTGTCTGTTATCTTTTAATGTAATATTTTAATATAGTATAAAATCATGCACTACTGTTTAAAGGTTTAGGGACAGTAAGGTTTTTATTCAACAAGGATACATTAAATGGATTTAAAAAGTAAGGACCTTTATAATTAAAATTTTTTATTTTCTTTTTTTTTTTTTTTTTCAAAAAATGCTGTTCTTTTGAAATTTCTATTCATCAAAGAATTCTGAAAAAAGTATCAAGGTTTCCACAAACATATTAACTAGCACAACTGTAATTTCAACACTGATAATCATTGATAATAATAAGAAATGTTTCTTGTGCAGCAAATCAGCATATTAGAATGATTTCTGAAGGATCATGTGACTCTGAAGACTGGAGTAATGATGCTGAGAATTCAACTTTGCATCACAAGAATAAATTACATTTCAATATGTATTCAAATAGAAAACAGTTATTTTAAATTGCAGTAATATTTCACAATACTACTGTTTTTACTGTATCAAACAAATGCAGCCTTGGTGAGCATAAGAGACTTCTTTCAAAAACATGTAAAAAATTGTAATAACCCCAAGCTTTTGGACAGTAGTGTAGTGTGCAACTTTTAGAACTCAAAACTTCTTTCTTGGCCCAAAAAGACAATACACTAAAAACTAAAATGGAAAACACTTCATTCCTACTGTCAGAAACTCATATACTTTATATGACCACCCTCATTTACACTGTCAACAGTGCCTTATTCAGCTTTTGCGTTGTGATAGCTTCATGCAGATGTTATAGATTTATACTGCATTTCAACTAGAATTGGTTTATTCCAGGTGGCTCTGCAACCCTACACTTGATGTGCGTACCAGGAAATGGGCGGTTGAAGGTTTGGCTTACCTTACCAATGATGCTGATGTAAAAGATGACTTTGTTGATGATGAAGCAGCCATGAGGGCCATGTTTGAACTTACCCAGGTGTGCTGACAGATAAAAAGACTGAAATAACTTGATCAAGTTTGGCAATTGCACAGATTTTTTCAATCCGTATGATTTAATAGAGATTTAAATATGAGTGTACAAATGTGCAATGCAACATTTTTCTCTTATAGTCAAAAGATAAGACCATCCTATATGCTGTCGCCTGCACCCTGGTCAACTGCACCAACAGCTATGACAAGAAAGAGATCATCCCTGAGATGGTGCAGCTGGCCAAATTCTCCAAACAACACGTCCCAGAGCAGCACCCGAAGGTAACATACACAGAATCCTGTGATGTAGCAAATCTAAAGTCTTTAAAAGTACAAATATTCCATGTAGTTTCTCAATAAATACTAATACAATGCCAATTATATCACATGTTATTTTGAATATTAAGGGTATTTTTTGGTAGTTATTTGAGCATGTAAAAATCTCAAATAAAAAGACCTAATTTTCCATATATCTATTCTTTCCATAACAGATATATGAAGTTGTGCGACCGCTGGTTTCCTTGCTAAACACTGAACGAGATGGTTTGGAAAACTTTGAAGCTCTGCTGGGTCTCACAAATCTGGCTGCCTTGAATGACAAACTTCGGTAAGTGCCATAGAATGTCATCTGGCGCTGATCGACAAACATTTAAAATATTAAATGCAAATAATTTAGGAAAGGCAGAATTCAGAGAATTCAGAAGGAGGAACTGCAAACTATAGACTCAAAGATGAAAAGCAAAATTCAGAAAGCAAGATTCATGCTCACATTATAGGCAAACATTTCATTTACACAGAACCACATTTTTTAAATGAAAACTTTGAATTATTCTTTTGATGCCTTGCAAGCACTTCTGCTTCCCTCTAGAAATGCAGATCTTTATCTGTGCAATTCTTTGTCTTTATTTCCACAGAGTGAAAATCCTTAAAGAAAAAGCTCTCCCAGAGATTGAGAACTACATGTTTGAGGAGCATGATCAAATCAGACAAGCTGCCACAGAGTGCATGTGCAATCTGGTTTGCTGCAAAGAGGTTTGAAATTACCATTGAGAACACATTCTTCTATCCAAATATTGAATTTTTTTGTAGGTTTGGATGGAAATATTGACCAAATTCATTTATTTCAACAGGTTCAAGACAGATACCTGGAAGACGGCAATGATAAACTCAAGCTTCTTATTCTGCTCTGCGGTGAAGATGATGCGCAGCTTCAGAGGGCGGCTGCTGGTGCACTGGCTATGCTCACCGCCGCACAGAAGAAACTGGCTGTTAAGATTACTAAAGTGGTACGTATCAATAACAACAGCTGTCACGTTCAATTTGATTCATTTGTCCCACTCTAATCTACCACTTACCTAAGTATTGTGGCAGGACCATGGACATGGTACAATGTTGTTATCAGATACTCGTACCAAAGTTGATTGACTCTACTATTATGTTTTATCATCTACAGACTGGGCAGTGGCTTGAGATCATACAGAGATTGTGTATCCATGACAACCCTGAAATTCAGCACAGAGGTCTTGTGACGGTGTTTAATATGCTGGACGCTGATGAACAACTAGCCAAGAAGCTCATTGAATGTGAATTGCTGGAGATCCTGACATTTGTGGCAAAACTAGAGGACAACCCCAAGAAGCAGGACGCTATTAATGCTGCTCGCGCCTGCCTGTCCAGAGCCTTGGATAGTGGATTTATCAAACCGTTTTCAAATTAAACAGTTCATTGTGATGTGTCATTAGGCGAGTACAGAATGGTCTGCTTTCTGGGAAAGTGGAAAGACTGCAAACCATTTGCAAGGTTTTCTTTTTTAAATTTCTACCGCTGAGCATAGTTCTTTTTGTTAGATTAACTGTTTGTGTGGCTGTTTGTTTGATCAGTAGAATTTGGTATTTATTTAACATGCTCATTTCATATTTCATGTATTTGCACTTGTGAAGTTTTGATTCACAGATTAAAATCTTTTTTTGAAGAAAAGATGAAGCGAATCCATTTCTTCATATTGACATGATTGAAATCACCCTTTTGAGTGTATTTGTGCAAGTAAACCACAAATAAACACACACATTTACATTGGAACAGTTTATTGAACCTTATAAAATTAAAAAAATATGAAACAACTCAATTTTATGCCCAAAATTAGCAAAAAAAAGTGTAATTTAGAATTTAATTAATTAATTAAACAGTTACACAATACAACAAACAATTTAATGATTTTTTTGTAATTTGTAATTTATATTTATATGGCCAGAAAGTAAGATGGAATTTTGATATCGTGTAATGTAAATCAATGCGATTTGTAAAACAGTACAGGCTACTTACAGTACATAAAATGCATATAAATATCAGTGATCATTCTATATCTCCGAATAATATAAATAATATTTAAATGCTTCGTTTTATGATCAAATCTTTGTAGTTTTCATTATGAGAGCAAACATATAATCCAATGATTGCGAGATGTACAACGTTCCTCAAAAGCCTGTTGTATCATATTTGATACTTACATTTTAACATGATTGTTCTAAAAAAAAATTATGTATGTAAAGTTGCTCCAGCATAGTAATAATATTTATTATTTATTTACATATACGTTTTTTATTATCCTGTATTGATATCAAATTCTACTTTCAAATGATTCACATTCAACATTTTAAACATGTACTGCTTTATTGTCTGCATTCCTTTAAAACTAGGATTACATATTTTCCATATGCATTACACCTATTTTGGGTTTGCCGACCAGAGATTGACAGGCAAAGCAGGACAAAAACAGCGTTGTTTTGCTCAAATTCACTCAGCGAACATTTCGTCCAGGACTGAATGTTTTTTTAGGCGTTCAGGTATGGAATAAAATCGCTGTCAAAAATAATCGTACGTAATTCAAAGCATTTGTGTGTCATTTTAATTTACTCGTGCGTAATTTAAAAGTATTGTATGTAATTCTGTTTTTTCACCCATTTCTTTTCTTCTTGTACTGAACAAATCACACTTTGTCCCATGATCGACTTAACTCCTAGAGCCTTCTTTTGTTGCCTACTATCCTTACAATATATTATCAATCTACCATCCCTCAACTTCTTAACACTATCAATCAGTCCTATCACTTCCTTAATTGTTTTAGATAATTTCAGCGGATTAATGATACTGAAAGATCCGGTTTCAAGTTTCATCACTACCTTATACTCTTCCTTCCTTCTTCTTGTCAGATGCGTTTCATTTTCACTGTCAGTTGCAGATGCGTTACTCCAGCTTTTCTTTCTTTTTCGATTTTCTACTATACTCCATTCATTATTTCCATTCCCGCCTTCGTCCGCGTCAAACACTTCATCCTCCATTTCCGGATCACTTCCGGAATCTACGCCACTTCCTACCATGCACTCTCCAGTCACAGATCAGCTCCAGCGAACATTTCGTCCAGGACTGAATGTTTTTTTTTAGGCGTTCAGGAATGTAGAAAACTGAATAGCTCCACCTAGAGGCCGGAAGAGTAAATTAGGCTTTTTCAGAGCAACGACGGATAATTGTTAAACTTAAGCTACTGGTGTCTACCCTTTTTATCGATATATAACCATATACAACTTCCCTTTGAATGACTCAATCGACATTCAGAGATAAATCAGCGTATCATTTGCCACGAAACGGCGTCGTTTCAATATGCCTGGGCTGCGCCTACTAGTGACGGCAAACGGAAGTGCATGCAGGACGCAAGATGGACGCAAACTTCTAACTTTCTGTTTCTTTTTCGTTTCGCTTTTGCTCGCGCGAGCTACTCTCTTCTAGATAGCGCGGCGTCCCTCGTGTAGACAGCACGCGCTGTCGAAAGAATTCGAATTCCGTTCAAAACAGCCCTTCAGACCAAATCGCTGGCAGCCGTTCGTTTTCACAGCCCAACCTTTGCTGTCTTTATGTGGATTCGCTTCCTGGTTGCAACACACAGTCACACAGTACAATTCAAGTCCTTCAAAACGCAGTTCAGCTTGAGAGACCAATCGTCGAGCATAAAAATTGCCCTTACAGCTTTAAATAAACATTTCATTACTATTTTACGGGAAAGGCAGCATATTTTTATTCGTTTAAGTGGAATGTCGTGAGCCGTCGAAGATTAGAAATATCTAATATCTCGAGTGCAAAGCGAAATCCTGGGATCTATGCCTCGTCTTCATGGAGAATGAGACTAACTCGATCAACAGAAGGTGACTGGGGTTCGATGCCTCGCTGACACGTTTAGTTTCTGTTTTGACTTCAATAGCGTTTGTATAATCCGTTTTGTTTTGAAATATCAATATGAATATATATATATACATTTATATATATATTCAGAAATTCAATTCACAGTATTTTTTTGTGCTCTTTTTGTTTGTGTTGACAGCTAACGAAACTGTTAATAAGGTCATGGGTATTTCAATGTAATCACACTATTGCAACTTTGTGTACAATTATAAACGACTATCCTATTTTGGTTGAAAGAATTCACGAGTACTGGTTTGGTTGGTTGCTCTTCACTCTAAACCAGTTCAACACTTGAGTCAGCATGGTGCTGGTAAATCTACACGTGATAGTCTTACCTTTGCTAGACTAGGCTTTTGTATTAATTTGAATAAGGGTTGATTAGAGTCACGTTTATACTCCTGTACAATGTCCTCTCTTGTAGCTCCATCAGTGTTTTCTAGATCTTTCTGCATAATCTATAATATGAATAGTCTTATATTAGTCTTTATTCTCAGTGTTTTGATATTTCTAAATGTAAATTATGGTCAGTATGGTTTGCAATATGTCAGTAATGTTGATGTATTTACAGTTGTGTTATATGAAGCTCGGTCCATGTTATATATTGCGTATATAAATGTTGAGTTTTTAAGATTAAGTCACAATTGACATATTGCAGTATCAATTTTATTATTTATTTATTATTATATTATAAATGTGGTAACTTTTTTAGCTGGTCTAAGATGATCATTAGCTGATTCTAGCTTGGTTGACAGATGTTTCAAAAACCAGCTTGACCACCTTAAACTGGTATGACCAGCTGATAGCTGGCTTGTTGGTGGTCTAAGATGACCTGCCCACTAGTATCAGCTTAAACCAGCTAGAACCAGCAACAAACTAGAAAAGTTGGAAGTTCGAACTCCACCATGTGCAGAAGACAATAGGCTGCATCTCATATTTCTGTATAGTTGGATGAGTTAATGATGAACAAAGTTATTTTTTAATATTTGACATTCTGGTTATATTATATCCTACATTTGGAAGATTAGTGTGGAAACACTAACATGAGTGTTGCACAGTACTTCACATAAAGAACAATGTGTTTTTTTTTTTCAGCATAAGAATTGCGCAATTACACTTTCTTTAATGCACAATACTTTTTTTGTTTCTTTTAAAGGAGTTGTGTAGCCAGTTCATGAAACTGTTGCTTCTTTTACTGACCAAGTTGTTCACAAATTGGCTCTCTACCAGAGTTTATTGCTTTTACCAACCATTTATCTCAAAATGTCCTTGAGATGACTTTTACAACATGCTCTCTGGTAACAATTCCAGAGTGACAGAAAGTGACCTAGAAAAGTAAAACCATCCATTTTGTTTGTTATTGGAAAGAAGGAATGTTTTGGAAGATTGTGAAGCAGTTAGTATAACTCAAACATGTGTCTTGTCTTTCCAGGTCTTCTGGAGCCTGTGCATCCAGGCTCAGCAACCTTTAATGAGAGTATTCTAGCTCCACTTCGTAACAACTATTTGTATGAGGAATCAGAAGAATGTTTCACGTACAACTCTGCCCATTTGATCAACAATGGCGCTTTACAAAAACGGGTTAGTTTTATCTAAATGTTCTCCATACTGCACTTAATTTTGAGTGATTAGTGAGATTTGTGTCGTGTTATAATAAATGTCTTCTTCCAACAGTATGCTGCCTTTTGTTCCGAAAAACGGGAAAAGGGATATTCTGAACAGGAACTTGAAGAGTCATTTGGCTTCCTGTTGCTTGATGATGCAAACAGGGTACAGAAATACAACACTAATGGAGCTTACTGAATCAGCCTGATTTCAAAACTGTTCTTTCTGAAACTTCAAACCCATTACAGCATCATTTGTTTTCTAACAGGCAAGGAAAATTGGCGAAACAGGCTTGTTAGTTGGACAAGCAAAATGCACTACCCTTGGAGACTCCTTGAAAGGTAAAGAAAGCTAGCCATTGCATTATTTGGTGATCATTTTAGCATAACAGCCTGATGTGTTTACTTGCACATCAGGCTAATATTTCACATGTGACTGCAAGAAAATCAGCCAAGAGGAGGTTCTGAAGCCTTCATACTTGTCTGACAGGACTTGTACTGTTTGTCAGCGACGGTTACTGGCATGAATCCCAGCTTTGTTTCTTTTTATATATAGTGTAACAGAATTGCAACTTAGTTGTATTGCAGCTGAATAAATCTGCCTCAAACCATCGAAATAAATAGCATATACTAACAAAAATACTATATAATGGATTACTAAAATAATGCCTTTTATAATAATAGTGTTCACAGCGTTGGTCAGGAGAACTGCATATTTCCAAGTCCATCGTAGGTTATGAAAAGGAAAAGTGAAAGGATGCTACGTAAGAGATGCATTTAATCTATAGAAAGAGAAAGTGAAGGTCTTCCTTTACACTGGTCTTCTCACTAGTGTATGAGATCAAATAGCCTAGATGCAGAAGTATTTACTGCAGTCTAAATTAAGCGTTCAGTGCCGCTCTCAAATTTGCTAGAGACTACAGGGCCGTTATAAACTTCTGGTGGAAGACTGTATCATATTGTGGAGAAATGAGACCCATTTCAAGCAAAGGAATCTCATATCACTAGTCACATGGTGGGACCATCATGGCTTGAGGATGAGCAGATAATTATTAAGTAGTTTGTAATGAATTTTGTATCGTACAAATAGATTTAAGAGGAGCGTCTGGGTGTTTGGTGGACAATAAAATCTGAATATGGGACATGCAGCACTACTACTACTAATAAACAATCTCATAATGAAAAAATACAGTTTGATTACTTAAAGCAGGTTGGTCAACCATATGGTCAAATTCAGCACATATTCTTCATATTCAAATTCTTTCAGGCCTTCACATGATAATGGGTTTCCATATTTCATTTCATTACTGGTTTTAAGTATGATGTAACTGGTAAGTTATGCTTAGTTTATGTGGTTTGAGCCACTTCTGTTTCCTGTGAGGAGAAAGACTTGATATACACGCACCTTCGTGAGTATAAAACCGAAGTCTCTCTTTACAAAGGTTGCGCAACCAAATAAGAGTAAACTTCATGTGATATTGACTAAGTTGCTATCATATCGATGTTCTTTTCTTTTCGTCTGAAAATATTTTCAGACGCAGTGAATAATCTGTAGGAGAATACGATAAAGTTTGTATTTCAATGTGTGAAATACTTTTTTGTTTTGTTTTAAGGATTTTGTGAACTTCAGAAATGTTGGTGCATTGTTAAGGTTTGTTTAGTCTCAACTCTAAAATATCACTGACAGCGCACACAGTTTGTTCTCTGACCATATGAGGTAAACCAAAGTGTCAAGAACTGGGCGTAAGGGCATACACGTGTTTTTTTTTTTTGTCAACCAGCCTGGAAAAGATACTACAGTATTTGATAAAGACGTCTTTGCTGGAATTGCTGTAGTTTTCCTAAAGTAGTTTCAATTTTCTAATAATATTACCAAGGGGCAACATGTATATTGAAAATATTAGTTAGTAGAACTGTATAATTAGTTAGTAGAACTGTATATTCTACTTTGTTTTCTAAATTACAGTATATTATATGAATTATTATTGACTGCAATTTGGACCAGATTTTATGTTTTCTATTAAAAGCCTGGCAATGCAAGACTAGGACTTGTTGGCTTAATAATTACCAGGACTAAAGATTAAACTTCTTGGCTGAAGTTTAACACGTCAGGGCAAACAGACCGTCCTGAGAACTCCTTGTGCACCTTTTTTCTCATCCAAAAACTGCTGAAGAACTAGTTTTTCTGGTTTTTGATGGTCCGTTAATTGCCTGTGTTGGGTATGAAAAACATTTCTCAGAATTTTGGAGTCAACACCTTCCACTGAAGCACATGTTGTTTGCTTTTATGTTCAGACAGTAGTTTTTGTAACGTAAAGACTTCTTTGAGGGCTCATTTTTCACAGTTTTGATCTCATGGTGTATGTTGAACACCATCATAGCTCTTTGGACCTTATCTGTTTTGACTTGTGATTATCTGAAATGTGTGTTAAATACAGCTTTATACAGCTCTCTGTTGTGCAGTGACTTAAATGTTGTGGAGTTGTTTTCTGTTATTGGTTGAGGTGATTAATTTCACATTATATTTCTGATATTTACCCTTAAATTAGGTGTCTATATCTCAAAATACTCAGACTGCCTTGACCTGAAGCGCTGGTATGATGGCAAGACTGGCTACATAGTCATTTTGAAGCTGACCAAGGTATGCAAGTTGGTGGAAAATTGTAATTCTTCCACCCACATTCTGTTAATTTGTGCTGATTTTTCTTAATGCACCACATGCAAACATGTTTTCTCATGTATTTAAACATCAGGGGAGAGTGAAAGAGGTTACAGACAACTACACCCAGAATTTCACTCCTCCGACAGCTGGCTACAACTGCCACATATCAGATCAGCTTGGTGCTGTGTCTTCAACTACTAGTTCTTTCTTGGCCTATGAGCGAACACAGGTGATACAGTTCTCAAAAGAAACAGTTCCCTTCCTTCCTTCCTTCCTTCCTTCCTTAGTTTCAAACTGTATATCTAACAAGGTTGGTTTGTCTTGCAGTACTACATGTATGAACTCCGCGATGAAAGCAATGACATAGAAACATGTCCAAGACATGCTTGTCCATTTGCCATTGTGGCATTCTCATATGGGAAGATGAGCACCACGCCAGAGTTGGAGCAAAAAAGGTTTAGCAGTTTTTATATTCTTTCTATCTTCTTAAGAGAAACGTTAAGTTTTACGTATGATAATGGTGATTTTGACAACTAAAGATTTTTTTCTTTACTGTTTCTTTTCAAGCCAAGACAAAACAGGTAAGAATTATAGATTGTTTTGCATGTTTTTTCCTGTTTTGTGGTGAAATTAGGGCAAATAGCGAAGATTCACTATCTTGTCTATTGTCTTTCTTTCATTTATTGTAAAGGGTTTTGAACTCATTTCGAATAATATTCAGTGTATTTTAAATGCTCCTTTGAGAGTATGTAATTACCAACATGGTGTTTTAAGCTAAATTTTGTGTTGTAGTGTTTCATTACCAACCATGGATTGGCCAATTCAAGATTGAATCTGCTGTCTATGATGTTGGTTTTCAGTCTTCGAGCGGAGCCTGGTTCCCAGCAAAGCTGTAGGTTTTATTTAAGTACATGTTTCAATCAGCATTTCATGTTTTCAATGCTATAAACCAGATTTGATAATGTACCAAAAAGCTGCCCAATAATCAAGGGTAGATTATATAGATATACTATATATCTACGGTATAGGACTAAAATGCAAACTGTATTTTTAGCCCAAAGACAGTTCAAATTGACCATGCAATTGGTGTGTCTGAACTGAAGAGGACCTTGCCACGCGAAATCTTTGAAACTTGCATTGTGGGTGAAGGTGTGTTTAACATTTTATTTTGGTAACTAACAGTATCGCCCATATTGGTGCTAAAACTGTAAATGAGTGCTTGGGCGATGTCTTGTAATTCCTTTCCCTCTATCTCCACACAGTTTGCATAGATGACAGATGTTTCAACTTGTATGACGTTGTCTCCTCTAAGGCGAAAAATGACCTGGCTCAGATAGCCCAAGAGCTGAAGGAAAAAGACATGGTAAATATGGAGAAGAGAGAAATATTTATAATAATTGGACAAAACCACTGAATAAATTTCTGAACAAATCTTGTCTTATGATCATTTCCATTCAACAGGCTCTTGTTATCCCACTGGAAGATTCTGGGTTCCTTATACTGTTACACTCTTCACACCTCTTCTCTTATGAAGGTAAGATGTTGCCCAACAGACTCCAATCCCACTAATTTTCTTCACAGAGTAATTGATTTTTGACAACAATGTATAAACCTTTAAAAAACAGACCTACCATGAGCACCGAGGTTGTTAATTAGTGATGTATGCTTTTGTTAATGTCATCAGTGTGTGTCAATTCCTGGTGAAGAACTACAGTGTATTATCAAAATTCCTAAATGTATATTTGTTTATATCTGATTATTAGTAATGAACTTTAAAAAAAAAACTATACTTGGAAAACACCTTTAAATTAATAGTGTTATATTTTTTCCATGTTTTTAAATTAGATTTTCATTCGCAATGCTTCATGGGATTGTGAAAATTTGTAAAGAATTGTAAAAATAATAATAATAATACATTTATTTTTTTTCTAGATGCAAAGTCGGGTAAGGCAGCAGCACTTCAAGGCATGTTTATTTTCCCAGACTCAAGAACTGTGCCAAGAGGTAACAAGGAGAATAATTTGATTTATTATATTTTTTACATCTGTGTACTTTATGCAGCTTTTATTTGCAAGTCTTTCGCATCTTACGAACATATGTTTTGTATGGTTTTATGTTTAGATGCCAAATCTGACCTGCAAAATTCTAAGGTATCAACAGAAATAATGCAAGTAATCCCAGCACTCAACTATGCAGAAATGGAGATGGAAAAATGTCCTCCAAACCAGCAGGGGCGCTCTCAGATGTCTTTAGAGAAGCATTTGCAAGACTATGGGACTCTTTTTCACCCAGGGCTATTGGACGTTCCCACCAGGGAAGCCAGTATGTTTCCAGATCAATATGATGTGCCTGGTGGTTTTACCCTAATATCGCCTAAATGGTCACAGGAGGCTGGTACTCAATTAAAATCCTATTTTGATGAGCCTTGTGGCTTTACGATTCCAGTAGGGAGGGCGCTGGAGTTACTCACTGCTGGTCGACAACAGCGTGGTGATGATCACGATGATGATGTCTATTACTGCATATCATCACCTGAGGAGGTGCCACAGACTGATGCCCCTATTGAAATGGAGGTGACAAAGCAATCTGAGGCCATTAGTGATGTCTCTGACAGGACAGCTGAAACAGTTGAGAGACAAAAAGATGAGCAAAAGCATTTGTCCACAGAGCAGCCTCAACCTGCTTTGCCAGAGGGGCTTGGAAAGCTGGGAGCAGCTGTAGTTACAGTAGCTGATAGTGTGTTGGAATATCCAACTTCCACAGTGTCACCCAAATTGGGTGATGTCCCTGCAGAGAATTGTGTAAGTATTGAGACTGATGTTGAGAAAAAATCTCAAGGTAGTACTAAAGGAGATGCTGATGGAGTCAGTGTAGATTTATCTACACAAGAGACTCCCATCCAAACTAGCAGTACACCATTAATCAAATCAGCAGAAGAAGGTGCTACTGCTGTAAGTGGGGGGATGGAGGATAATACACATCCTGAGAAAACAATGCCTGATCCTGATAAGAAAGTAAATCGGAGGTCCTTTTCAAGGCGTAAAGGTAGGAAGCGCAGAACTCATTGGAAAACCATGCAGATTAAAAAAGTTCAAAAAAAGATTGCTTTACCAACTTCAAGTTTGCCTGTCGTTTTGCCAGTGAATTCTCCCGATGACCCTACGAAAGACCAGATTAAGACTGAAACCGTGCATGTTGATGACATCAGTCAAAGACCCCATTCAACTCGTAGGGGCAAGGGATGCAGGCGAAATCTGAGTGAAGCCAGACAAACACAAGACCCTTTATTAAGTGTGATAACTAAAACTATAGATGATCAAAGTATAAAAAATGAGACAAGTCCTTCAAAAAGAGAATGGCGGTCTCTTCCAAGGCGTAAAAGATTGTGGAATGCAGATGCCAATCTGAAACGTTCTTTGAGATCAGATGCTGTAAAGAACCATGAGGAAACTACAATGAATGTACAGCACAATGAAACAAAACGATGTTTGTCTAGCTCGCACAAGAGGAAGATGGAGGGATTTAGTTTGAGGGAACGATATGGTTTAAAGACCATAATCACAAACTGTGGTAGAGTCTTTGTTCCGCATGGTTCAGTTGTTTACGTAGAGTCTGCAAAAAAGGAGAAAATGCATGTTGAGACGAGCATTGACACAAATGCAGAAATGATTTCTCCTGTGGAGAACAAATCCAAAGAAATAGTGGAAAGTAAGGGAGAATCTCCCTCGATGGGTAAAGAAGAATTGCCCTCAAAAGATCCACTGGTCAATGACAATGAAGACTCAGACAGCCCTTCAAAAGACATGCCAAGTGCTCTCTTGTCAGCATTAAGGATATTGAGAAAACTTAACAAAACCCATTCATTAGAAAGTGACAAAAGTCAGGATTTATGTCCAGAAAAGTCCATGAATGTGGCATCAGACATGGCTGTAGGTGTCCAACAAAATAACAAAGATCATCCTGTTGCTGTTCAAGCAGATGCAACTTCCAATATTCCCAGAGTTTCTGACCAGTCCACTCATTCGGACCAAAAAGTATCATCTCCTGACAAAATCAAAAAGAAAGCAAAACATGATGTGTACAGTGCAATATCTATAAGCAAATTAAAGACAGTGCTCAGAAGGGGAAAGAGGATGAAATCTCCTTCGCCTGGAGGCAGTGCAAAATCTGAACCAGATAACACAGAGCCAGAGTCGAAAAAAGGAAAGTTGGGTGCCATCATGGATCTGAAGTGTGATACTGCCAAAAATGAGTTGAAAGACAAAGGATTACAACCCATGAATGATGAGGCACTGCATACGCCAATGAAAAGTGTGGAGTTAACAAAACAACCTGTGTCTTGGAGAGGTCTTATTCACAAGGCATCAAAAGAAAATGGTAAGAAAATTATTAGTTTACACGTTCCGTCATTAAAAAAATGTTCACATACCAAGAGTGGGAAAGTGTCCAGAAAGTGTTCTGTGTATATTTGCAACCAGTTTCAAACCTCAATCCTTTGTGATTACGTTTCATTCTCTGTAGTAGTCACTAAATTAGACTGGCTTGATATTAAGGCATGATTATGCTGGTGTATTAAAATTGGCCCCACGTTTTCCCTCTCCATCTGGCTGTCTTCAGTGTGCATGTTCTTCTGCTTCTTAAGGCCACTGTCATACTCTACTTCCTCTTATTCTTTTGTATGTCTGCATGATTATGCACTTTGCTACTGCTATTTTATGCTTTGTCTTTGTTTTTGTCTATTTCTTACAGGGTCCCTCAATTTTGACACATCAGCACCTTTTGAAATAGCAAAGCACACTGACCAGCAGCTCATATCTTCGCTTATTGGGGATAGGGTGGGAAGGAGAAGAATTAGCACTGATGGCAAAGCCAGTGCAGAGAGACTGAGCACGGGTGCATCTCTGCCCCCAGATGCTTTGAGTTTACTGGCTGACTTGGCTCTTGGTGCAAGTAATGATAAAATGTTAACGAACTTAGAAGCCAAGGCTGGCCAGGAGGCCCTTGATGGAGTGAATGCTAGCGGCCCCCCGGAGTCACTTCTTAATGCCCTTCTTCGTTATCCATCAGCCAGATTTAAATTACCCCCCCGGTCTCCTTTCCCAGAAGGTCTTTTAGTGACTGGGGAACTGATTTTGGAAATATCAAAAGAACATTCTTACTCACAGACCACCTCTCCGCTGTCAGGTTTGTCAGGTCCATCTCCCAAGGTTTCTTTTCCATCTGAAAGTGTAGAATCACCTCTGTCATTGAAAACTGGGCTTCATCTGAACCTACCCAAAGATGCTGTGGCCTCTTGTCACCAAGAGGAAGGGGGCAAAGCAGAATGGAAGCATTTGATTACTCCAAATAAGCCATTGTCGGAGATCCTAAAGACGAAACCGCGGAGATCCAGAATTTTACGCAACAGAAGCATAATCGAAAAGGAGGGAATGATTCAAGTGACGAGGATTTGGAAAGAGCCATATGATTTTAAATTTGACAGCAAGTTAACCAATGAAAGTAAAGACAAAACTGTCACACGAGCACTTCATGGGTAAGTACTGCTTGTTGCTCCTAAATCTCGATTAAGGTTTAATTATGATTATTGTGGTGAATATTTAATATTGTTTTTATGTTGATTCGTGGCCAACAAGCTATTCACACAAGACAAATATCAAAACATTATGGCTTTTATTTACTTATTTTTCTGATTAGTGACAGTATAGTGACAATTTAAAGGAATACTTCACCCAAAATTCAAAACTCAAAAATAAGGATTTTTTTCGTCTGCTGGTACACGCCATTTCCATTTTTTTACTTGCCTTTCCAATATTTTCATTTGCCCTGCTAAAAAATAATTTAAAGGTATTAATTTTTATTTTCCATAAATATTTCTTTTATTTTTATTCTTAATATTTTAGAATAACTAACTAATAGAATATAATTTTATTCTATTAGTTATCGTGTTATTTTTTACATAAACTTTTACGCATTTTACTAATTAGGCTTTTCCTAAACTATCTTGTCAAACTGAAATGAAAGCGAGTAAAATATGTTGAAATATGATATGCATTCATATAGGCAACTTACATATAGGCTAAATGTCGTATGAAACGAGGATGTAAATATTTTGCTATCATATAAAAAAATATGAAATATAATACGATATAGATATAAAGTAATGTGATTGTTTACACTGCAGCATGATGAATGTTACAGTCTAATGTTTAGATCAGTGTTTGATCTACTATCAGATGTCGATGTTTATAATGTGCTAAGCAATAAGAATTTAGTTTATAAAATATCAGAATGTTTATGAACTGTGTGTTAATACAGACAAAGCATAAGTGCATGAATGACAGTACAAAATCATGTTGTTTTTATTGTTAGGAGTGGACAACATTAGTATTAGTAACTGCTAATGTTGTATACATGTACCGTACCTCAGTGTGAATGAAATATGATACTAATTGCTTTGAAAAGTTTAATGCTTACAGCTTGATACGTGTAGGCCTACCCCTGGTTTCACAGAGAACACAGAGGACACAGGCTTAAGCCTAGTTCCAGACTAAAATACATTTCTGAGCTGTTTTAACTGAAAGAAACTTGCACTGACATACCTTAAAATATGTAAAATAGTTCCATTGTTTTATCTCAAGATGCACCAGTAATGTTTTCTTCTGGCACATTAGTAATTAATTACTTTTTTTAAAGTAACTTACCCAACACTGTATGTAACACTGATGACATGATGCAAACAATTACTGATTGGTTTGTATTTTTAAAACATATTCTTATTGATTCTATCAAGATTATTTCAAGTCTTTACAATTACAATTTCTCTCATTTAGAGAATGTCTTGAGTTTGCAAGATATAAAAATGCCACATACTTAAAATATGCCAAAGATGCGGTTTGCAACAGTAACAGTTTTAACATCGTTTAACAGCTTTTGTGGTAATCTTTTGAGTCATCATAACCCATAATTAGACATTCCAAAAAGGCTCTGAATTTCTTTTTCCTTCTTTCTTAATGTTGACAGGACATGGAACTTCAACATTGAAGACACCTATGAGGATGTCCATCTCATTTTTCACATGTGGATTGGTCTTTTCTATAGTAAAGCCACCTCCAGGTTATTTCATCTTGAAAACAGTACCGCGCTTCCAAAGGAGAAGGAGGTTGAAATTGTTCATTTGGACATAAACGCTATTCAGAATGCCGTGTCATTGCTCAATGTTGATTTGAGCCAGAAAGCGGACTCGGCCAAGCCTGTGCATGTTTCATCAGAGGTTTTGGATCTTTCTGTGAAAAATGATGAGCCTGTGAATCTTCGTTCAGTCTCAAATCAGTGCAAAAGCAAAGACACTGCATCACAACCTGGTGAAATATCATCTCATAAGCATGAAATGGCACCAAGGCATTCACCTTCTGGGACAAGTCTCTCCTCCAGTCCGAAAGTTACAGCATTGATGGTAATAGATTATATCTTACACCATTAAAATTGTACAGTATTTAGGTGATGTAAACAATGTATTTCTTTTTTTTTTTTTTTTTTGATGAGATATTGCATATTTTTATAGAATTTTAAAATGTTCTATGACAACAGAAATCAGTCATTTGTGAACTCTTTAATTACTTGGCTGATAATTCTAAAATGTCTAGATTTTTTTGTTATTATAAACAAATTCTTATATTTTTAATAAAATATTTTTGTAATGGTTATACGTATTTATAGGTATTTTTTATAGAATCTTTCATTTTTCTGAGATGATAATTTGTTAGCTTTTAGTCTTTAGTTTCTTGTCATCTTTATACATAAAGTACTGTGCAAAAGTTTTAGGCCATTAGTATTTTCACCAAAAAAAGGGGGAAAAATGGTTTTAATCCAGTTATTTCTATCTTTTGCTGTAGTGTATCAGTAGGAAATATGAGTTTACATTTCCAAACATTCCTTTTGCCATTAATTGTAATTGAGATTTTTGTATTCACAAGGAGTCTTACAACAGCCAGTGCTCCACACAGAGATCTGATCTCACCATCATCCAGTCCGTCTGGGATTACAAGAAAAACAGAAAAAGCTGAGATAGACTAAAACCAGAAGAACTGTGGCAACGTCTCCAAGATACTTGAAGAAACCTTCCTGCTAAGCTACAGAACTGTGAAAAGTTTTAGGCGCTTGTGTAAAAATGCTGTAAATGCTGTTAGCTGTGAGGATGCATTCAAAAATAATGTCATAAATAGATTTATTTATCAATTAACTTCTATTTACTAAATCTAATCAACATTCGGTGTGACCACCCTTTGCATTTAAAACAGTTTTTGTCCTAGGTACACTAGCACAGTTTTTCAGGTAGCTTTGTGGGAAGGTTTCTCAAAGTGTCTTGGAGACATTGCCACAGTTCTTCTGGATTTAGTCTGTATCAGTTTTTTTCTGTTTCTTCATGTAATCCTAGCTGGACTGGATGATGGTGAGATAATATCTCTGTGTGGAGCATACTGTCTGTTAATGGCAAAAGGAATGCTTGGAAGGAAGTGAAAACTGATATACTTACAAGACAGAAATAACTGACTTAAAACAAAGACTATAGAATACCCAAGACGTGTCACTCGTATAGTTTTGAATGGGGGAAAAATGCAAAGCTCAGTATGGCCGCTCTATCGAAGGAAGCCCCGCCTTCTGAGTAAAATAGCCAGTCGCTCATCATAAAGTCATCACGTCACTGCAGCTGTCGTTAGAAGTCCCGGTTGCTATAGAAACAGTCAGCATTCTGGAGACGTGTGCGCTTAGGACTGCGTATGTGCATTGGCTGGTCTAGCCTGAAAAATAAGCTTTTTTTGATGCTATTTGAGCAAAAGAAACAACATTTATGAGACAGTTGTTGTCAGATTTCAAATCTGAAATTTAATCGTCAGCTTGCCGAACAGTTTTGGAGAATTTAATGTTTCCCCATTCAAAGAGATAGGAGCTACACTTGCGTGCCCAAGAGGCATTTCAAAGATGGCTGCCAGGTGAAATGACTTGCCTTAAAGGGACTTTGCTTAAAACCTTGTTTGTTTGTTTTTTTTGTGAAAATACTAATGACCTAAGACTTTTGCACAGTACTGTTTGTTTTTAAGTATATATTCTTGTACAGCGGATTTAATATTGATTTATTTGCATATTTTCATTTCTCTGTTACAGAATTATAGATCTGCTGTGGATGTACCAGTGGAAAGTTCAGTGCCTGACAGTGACAATGGCACTGATGATGAAAATGACATCACCACTGACTGCTCATATTCACAGCACTTGAAGAAAAACAGTGCGTACAACTATTTGTGTGAGCAAGCATCAAATATGATAATAGGTGTTCGGATACTTAAACCAAAGGTCAGAAATGTTGCAAATACTAAAGCATCCACCAGCGTGAACACTTCTGGTCCCCCCAAAATTGGTGTTTTCCATCAAATACTTAGTCCCATAAAACCATCAGCATTCTCAAAACCACACCATCTGGTTTTGGGTAGGAAAAGTTTTGATCTGGGTTTAAAGAATGAAACTGGGCATGTGCCGCATGTAAATCTGCAAAAGGAGAATATGCCTGACAGTGCAGGCAATAAAGAGATTTTTGAATCAAAGAAAGAAAGAAAGAAAGATGGGTGCCCAGAAGCTGTGGTTGATGAAAATGTTGACAAGACTTTAGAACTTAAAACTGGAGCATCTGTTTTGTTGGAGGAAGAGAGTGTATATGTGGCTGAAGAGAGTAAAGTTCTCTCAAATGAAGATAGCCAGCATGGATGTCTGACAATTATGGAAGATGGAAATGTTGAAGAAAACATAACTTCTGAAATGCCTAGCCAAGATCAGACTAGTATTGTAGAGCATAAAGAGACTGCTCATGCAAAGGAAAATCTTAAACCTTTACTAGATCTGAAAGATCATGCAAACATGGTTGATGAGCTGAGAGATGCTGCATCACATGAGACTAATGTTGAAGAGCATAATGAGATGTCAAATGCAATGGAAGAACCGAAACCTTTACTAGATGACACAAATCTAGTTGACCATGTTGATGAGCTAAGTGATATTTCATCAGATGAGAGGAGAGTTGAAGAGCATAAAGAGACTGCTCATGCAAAGGAAAATCTTAAACATTTACTAGATCTGAAAGATCATGCAAACATGGTTGATGAGCTGAGAGATGCTGCATCACATGAGACTAATGTTGAAGAGCATAATGAGATGTCAAATGCAATGGAAGAACCGAAACCTTTACTAGATGACACAAATCTAGTTGACCATGTTGATGAGCTAAGTGATATTTCATCAGATGAGAGGAGAGTTGAAGAGCATAATGAGACTTCTAATGCAAATGAAGAACTTAAGCCTGTGCATGATCTGAAAGATCATGCAAATATGGCTGATGAGCTAAAAGATGCTTTGTCAGAAGAGACTAACATTGAAGAGTGTAATGAGTTTTCTAATGCAAAAGAAGAGCTTGATCTGAAAGATCAATCAAATGCGGTTGATGCATCATCCCATGAGATTGAAGGTAATGACACTAAAGAGCCTGTGGAAGAGAAAGAAGGTCATACAGGTAAGGAAATGATGCAAGAAATTGAGATTAAGTCGCAAAAGGAAGAGGCAAACCTGGATGGCAGTGATACTGAATGTGAGACGTCCACAGCAATGGAGGAACATCTAGATGAGTTTGCTTTGGGTCTGCAGGATGATATAAACAGTGTTAATATGGAATTCAGTGACGAAGATTCTGAAACCAAGGTACAGATGGAAGTTTATGTTCAGAACAGCTCCTCTGACAAATCATATGCCTTCATCGATGATGACCATGACATGAAGATGCAAAAGAGTGAAAAACAACCTCAGACACAAGAGGAGGCAAACCTTGAAGATGATGCCCTTGAAGAATTTAGCAAAGATTCATGCCAGGGTGAAGATCAGCTCTTGTCTGTTCAAGAGAAACACACCCCAGCTGCTAATAATGATACTCCTGAAGTAATGCATGATGATAGTGAAACCAAGACTATTGAGCAGAGTATAGTGGTCCAACAAGAAGCTCTTGACGTTTGTCAGGATGAGTCAAAACCAACAAGTACTGCTGAACCCACCAAAATAGATATGAGTCATTCAGAAAAAGATGATGAAAGAGATTTAGGCCAGCAAGATGCATCTGAATTAACTGGTGAGGATGGCACACTCGTTGAAGAGAATGAAACACAAAGTCAAGGTTCTTTTGAAGATCAGATCATAGAAACATACCAAGAATGCCTGTCCCCCAAAATTTGTGCATTGCCCCCCAATACCACAACTGACTCTCGTAATGAAGCAGTTGCTCATCAAGCTTTGACAATCAACAAACGCTCAGAAGTGGAGGTAAACAGTATGTGCTCTACTCCCACTCAAGATGAAATTTCATGTTATCCTGAAGTAAACGAAGGATTCAGGGAAGAGGATATGAATAGGGACCTGTACTATCCAGACAACACTGATCACTCTGATATGTTACCACCTAAAAGTCCTGTAAGCCCTCACCCCCATGTTTCTACCATAACACCATTATCTGACTTTACAGGACATTATGAAGAAATCCACAATGACAACCTAAGGTGGAAGAGAAGCAAATACCCTGGCACAATGGATTTTAAAGATAAATATGCATTAACTTCTGAGCATTCGCCCAGTGAGGACCCTTTTCCGTTAAGGCACAAACTCTATCCCACCTCTCAACAAAAAGATGATGAGACCTGTAACTTCATAGAGGGTGCATCTCAAAATGATTCTGAACTCTATTACAGAGACGATTTGTATGGATATTACTACAGATCTGATGAAGATATACCGTGGCAGGAATACCAAACACAGGAATCCATTGATCACCAATCGTACCCATGTGAAAACAACTCTGGTGGAGACAATGATCCACCCAGTTGTTCTAAGTATATCACATCTGAACGTGAGTATTCCTACAAGCACAAAAAGCGTGCAAAGAAAGAGACCGATGACTATTGTTGGGCAGAAGAGAATTATAAATCGGACCCTCTATCTTTCAAATACCCAATAAAGGTTACTTGTACTGCAGACTATGAAACGGAAATAAACCGAAGTTCAAAAAAGAAGTCTAAAAAAAGCAAATTCCCAGGTGCCTTCCATCAAAATGCTGAGTGGGATGACGAAGACTCTTCCGACAGCATCCATAAAACGTCATCCTTTGAAACGTATCAAACAAAGCTACCTAGGTCGGTCACAGTTAGTTCCCTTCCACATGTTAAGCCAAGCAAGCAGCGGTTTGATTGGCACAGGTATTTCAGAAGGGAGGCGACTTGCAGTCAGCCATTAGATGCGAGTGAGAGGGATAACAAATTTGACATTCCACCCTCATCCATTGTCACCATTTTGGACAGGCAAGGAAACCGTGTTATATTCAATAACTCTCCCAACATGAAACCATCTTTTGATGGAAGTAATTTGACTAAAGGACTTAAAGACTCTTTTAATGACTGGCAAGAACAACAAAGTAAGGCTGACGTGACCCGGTCTGCACTTGATCTCGAGTACCTCGTCTTCTCTGGAAATATTGATCGGGTTCTCAAAGAAACTAAGAGCTCTGCCAGTACCACATCCCGTTGTAGGTCAAATCCTGACCTGGCTACATGTCCCATGACTGTTCGGTTTTCAAATCTCAGTGAAGTAGAGAGTTCCGCTGAACTTGGTAAAGCACAGCCATCACTTACCGATTTTAAGATTAAAGTGGACATGTCCGACAGGAAAGAGATGAGGGAAAAAGTGAGAAACCATAAACATCTCCAAAGACCTTTCTGTGAAAAAGGCAATGACGTTAAGTTCTCTGGGATATCAGAAATAACAGACCAGTGCGCTGTTGCATACAAGTCCATGATGAACGATGTCTGCAGCGGGAAGACTCTCCCTCGTCCAGCTGAGGCAAGAAAGAGGAAGTTTGATCGAGAGAGTGTTAGGCATTATCCTAGATACTGTGGGCGCATCAAGAAAAACGTTTTTGACAATCCTCATGACAATCTAAAGTCTACTGTGAGGCAAGTGTCTAAGATTAAGTACAGGTTCTATATCCTTGTCACATCAACAGATACCTTCTTTAAAGAAACCAAGGTAAGAAAGTTAATGCATTAGAAGAATCTTATAAAGTGGTCCAAAACATTGAAAAGATTTTCATGTGAATTTCTATGATTTGTAGAACCTTTTGGAGATTGAGGGCCACATACCGGTTGAGCCAGATGAGTTTGAACTCAATGGTGACGATCAGTCCCCTCTGCTCATTATACTGAGGAATGAGGACATTGCAGAGCACATATGTGAGGTAAGTGAATGAGTGAAGCACAAAATGTTGTTAAAGCACTAGTGTTAATTCCTCAGTAGCAAATGTATTAAGCTGAAACTGTGTAAATCATAATTTAATTTGATGATTTTGCCTAGAGACAAAAAGGCAGCTTGAAACATTTGAAGAGTTCATTTGCAAAAACCGATAACTCCATTTTAATTTTTTTACGGGTTTTTTTTATTGCGCATTCCAAGTAATATCAATCAAAATGCAGTTGGGTTGTTTTGATGTAGTAATAATAACTTAAACAAATACAGGTAATTTGCAAAATTAAAGTTAATTGAAAGTATGTTTTTTTTAACATATTAAAAGTTTGTTTTGTAGCAAAAGCAGATAACTCCAACAGTCGTTTTTTTGGGGAAAAGCAGATAACTCCACATTTCATGTTTTAGAGTTTAAAAAAAACACTCTTTTAATCTTTGTAATCTCCTCAGATGACTATGTAGATGCCTGACAAACATTGTTGTTGTTGTGATCATAATCTTTTTAATCTCCTCAGATGACAATGTAGATGCCTGACAAATGTTGTTGTTGTTGTGATCATAAACTGTATGGATGTGATTACACGCAATACACGGAGCTTTTCCCTCACCATTGTAACGCGTTGCTTTTGCAAGGTTCCGTGAAAACGTTTCCGCTCTTATTTTCCTTTTTCGCCCTGAAGAAGATATCACAGGTTCATCAAGTTCGTCGAAATTATCCATCCTCGATCACTTTTAGTCAGCTTTGATGAAACTCCTCTCAGCTAGCACGTCTTTTCTTAAAGTGAAAGTAGCCTTGTCACCTGACCTGAATACAGCGTGCTGATTCGCTAAAATGGACTTATCGGCTTCTGTTCAAAAACAACAAGGGCGCCTCTCGGCTTCTGCAGTAAAACGTGAACTCGCGATGCCTTGAAAGTGGACAAAACCGGCTTTTTTGACAAAACGTGTTTAGGGTTCAGATTGCGCGCTATATGTGAAGAATAATTCACGGCAATCAGCTCATTTTTTTTTTTAAATGGTGTTTGCAAATGCAAATGATCTCTTCATTTTATTGGCTCTTTTAGTAAAAAAAAAAAGACATGATTAAAGGCTGTGAATAAAATAGAACTTTAAAATTGACAGAAAATAGACAAATTATGCTAAGGATGCACTTTAAATGTATTTGTAGATTGGTTGATATTGCATATGATAATGGATATTTAATTGTGCATGCTTATTTCCAATATTTTTACATTTAGATTGCCTTTGCCATTATCGAACAGTAAAAGTTATTCTAAATTAATAATAATAATTTAATAACACTACTTAATATAATCTTTAACAAACCTCAAATATAATATAGCTTAATTCATACTTTACATTATGTTGTGATGCCTTAATTCACTTTTAAAATATATATTTTTAATAGTATAATTTTAATATTTTAATATTAACATTTATCAGTTACATATCATTATTATCTAGAATTTTAATATCAATACATTCCTAGAAGAAGAGAAGAAAAGCTGTGCTATACTAAATTTAAGCTTTCTCCTAAATGGAGTTTCAGATCTGTTGAGCACATATATCTTTTTTGGGTTGAATTAGCGTGAATGAAATGCCTGTTCATTTTTCGTTTTGTAATTTGGTCAAACAGAAGTAGAGGGGAAAAAATAAGCAGTCGTTTCAAAAATAGTTTCTTTGTGAACTACTTGTTTAATTGAGGTTGGCTTCTGAATGTTTTTCTATTTAACCAGGTACCTTGTTTGCTGGAATTGAAATCGTCGCCCAGTGTCCTGTTTGCTGGCATCGACCGACCCGATGACGTAGTGAACCTAACTCACCAAGAGCTTTTTGCTAAGGGAGGCTTTATAGTATGTGACGAATTGGCTCTCGACACACTTACTCTAGGTACTGATCAAGTTGCTACACAAATTATGCTTGTTGTTTTACTGGAGATGGACTGCTACATTATGACATTTTCATTTGACTTGTTTTATCAAATTTATATGAAGACGACATGAAAAAAGTTGTTGGGATCCTGGAGGAGTTAGACAAGCAAGGGAAATGGAAATGGTTTCTGCACTACAGAGACAGTCGCAGACTTCGGGAAAATGCAAGGTATCAAAAATCCTTTCCCACCGCTGGATGTGAGGGCCTTCAAGGACTGTTCCCTGTTGTGTTTATACAAAAGCTACAATTAGTTAGTATTTGCTTACTTGGTTGTTGGCATAGAGTCTCACTTTCCTCTAATCTCCTCGACAGGTCCAGTCCTGAGGGAAGTAGGAAGCAGCAGTTTATTGATTGCTGTCAGAAAGCTGGCAAAATCGAGGTCTTGCCCTATCATGACTGTGATGTCATGTCACAGAACCGACCCGACTACCTCTTCTGTTTGACTCGACTCCAGATCCAAAACGCCTCTGTTCGCTTTCCTGTGTTTATTACAGGTAAGAGTTTAGATTTTTGTGAAAAGTCCACAGTTGAAGTACTATGAATAACATTTATGAATAACATTTAATTTAAGCATTTAAAAATTACAATAACCCAATATATTTTTTGCAAAACATCCATAAAAATACTTATATTTAAATGTATAAAATATATTAAAGGGATAGTTCACCCAAAAATGAAAAATTCTGTCATTAATTACTTACCCTCATGTCGTTTCAAACCCGTAAGACCTCCGTTTATCTTCGGAACACAAATTAAGATATTTTTGATGCATTCTGACAGCTCTCTGACCCTCCCATAGACAGCAAGGGTACTACCACGATCAACGTCCAGAAACATAGCAAGGAGATCGGTAAAATAATCCATGTGACATCAGGGGTTCAACCGTAATATTACGACGCTACGAGAATACTTTTTGTGCGGAAAAGAAAAAAAAAATAACAAGATATCGGCATCGGTATCGGCTGTCAAAAAACCCATATCGGTCGACCACTACTTCACACCCACCAGATGAGCAAGCTTTGATTGAAATTGCACTGCAAAAATGATCAAATCATACAGTTAACCTATATTCTGCTCAGACAAGTCCCTAAAGTTCAAGTCAAGTCTCAAGTATCTGAGGTGGAGTCCAAGTCAAGTTTTAAAGTGCCCCTATTGTGCCATTTTTAAGGTTCCTAATATTGTTTTGGGAGTCTCCTACAATAGGTACATGCATGCAAAGTCAAAAAATGCATCACATGTGTATGTAATAATGCTGGCTTGGTGTGTTTATAAATGAACTTTTGTGATATTTGATGCAGCAGCACATATAATGAATGAATGAGAGCATAATCAGACAGACTGATCTTTAGCTCTTGACCACACTGCAAAAAAATGGCTTATCTTACTTAGTATTTTTGTCTTGTTTCTAGTCAAAATATCTAAAAAAAAAAAATTCTTAAATCAAGATACTTTTACTAGATAAGCAAAATAACTTAACTTCAAGGGGGGAAAAAAACTAAATTAAGTGCATTTTGATCAAAACAAGTAAAATTATCTGCCTGTGGGGTAAGTAAAATATTCTTAAAACAAGAGTATTTTACTTACCCCACTGGCAGATAATTTTACTTGTTTTAAGCAAGATGCACTTCATTTTTTTTCTGCACTGTGGCAAAAATGTCCACTTCAGCAGCATTTAAAATACACCAAACTTATGGTTTTATTCCAATCTGTATTCTGAAGGTTTTTACAGAGGGTTTGTTCATATATAATTTGCCTGATTTTATACAACATTTCATTCCTAAAAAATGGTGAAAATTTATTTGTTTTCTGTCTGTTGACAGTATTTTCTGATTTATGGAGTGATAAAAAGAGATATCCAAAATCCCCTCTGTAGAAACCTTTGACTCTAATATGTCAACAGAATGAAACAAGATTTTTGAATCTGGCTTCATCCAATGTTCAGATTTTTGTTCTAGAAATGTATACAATTTAGCACATATTTAATTAGATAAAGCCTCATTTGTATATTTAAACATAACATTTCAGAAAACTTGTAATACAAAAAAATGTTTGCAATTCCTAATCAATCAACTGGGGAAGTACATCTGGGGCGTCTCGTCTGAATTCAGTCTGGTAATATTGAGAATATGGCATTATCGTATCACAAGTTTAATTTCCTATACATTATCTGTCCCACTATATAAAATATGACAACTGGCTTATCGTGCTGCTGATATCTTAGGTTATTTCACTCTACTTTCACTGTTTATCTTGCACTTAATAGTTGTACGAAAAACCTCACAGCAGAAGACCTTTTTCCTTCTTTAAATTAATAGTTAAATTACTTTTAACAATTATTATTTATTTTATAAATTTATCAGCATGAAATAATGCTTACTGTAATTATTATTATTATTTATTGATTGATGTATTTGTTTTTTTTTTGTGAAGAATGCATAACATGTCCAGATTTAGGCAATATGAGAATGAATATGAGAATATGTTGTGATTAATTCTAACCTTTTTTTCTTTTGTGTGTTGCAGACACGCCAACTGAATCTTTTGGAACAAATGGAATTTTAACAATGAACACTTACACATTCTCACGGATTCTTTTAAATGATACTTGTTCTGTCTCATAAATGTTTTTTTTTTTTTTTTTTTTAATTCAAAATCCAATATCTTACCATTGGTAAGTACACCATTGTTCATAGAAATAATTTATTGTTTATCGTAAATGTTAAAGCATATATCTTTGTTACTCATAAGTGCTTACAATTTATAAGCTTTCCGCTGAGAGCTTTAAAATTTATAATACAATGAAAATGTACAAATGTAGGTCATGAAAATGTTTTAGTTTAACCTGACGTTGTTTTTTATAGATTAAATTTGACTGAAACTCTAATAAATTAGCTGATTTGGTATGGTTGTCATTATTTAGCTTCGTCTATTTAAAACGTATTATATTATAATTTATATATACAGCATTTTTTTTTTTATCCATTGTGGGTGTTAAGATGTAGACCTAGAAAAAAATCAAGCAATATTTATTTGTATAGTGTTTTTCACAATACATACAGTATATGTAACAGTTAAAACTGTTGGAACAAACTTTGATTATAGTATGTGTTTAACTACTAACAGATGTGCCTATGACTTCTGTTTGATTAGCATACTAGACTTTTGTGTCTGCTCTGCTCTGCTCTGAAAAGATTTAACATACAGATGATAGCTCATCATTTGTTATAATTATAATTACAGGTTGTGATCACCCGTTTTGTGTTCATTTGTTGGTCTGGTAGTTCTCCTTTCTAAGAGACTAAATGTATTCCAAACTTGTTTGATATATTCTGAGTTGATAAAAAAAAAAGTATCACCTGAGGGGAAAAAGTCAAGAGACTAAATGTATTCCAAACTTGTTTGATATATTCTGAGTTGATAAAAAAAAAAAAGTATCACCTGAGGGGAAAAAGTCAAGGTTAGCTAGTTAGCTAGCATTAACATTGCACACAAAAATTTGTGATTAAGGAATAGTAACCTTGACTCATTTAAATTAATATTTTGGCTTAGCACACTGTTTTCATTCCCTGAAAGACCTGGTCCAGTTATCCGGTAATTATTGCTGTGCCAAAGGCAAAGCATTAAAAAAAGCAAGTACAAACCTGCCAAATTTAACAACTGTACCTTCTGAAGAACCGGTATAGTGTTTTTTGTTTAGTCAGTTTTTAATTTTCCTTTGAATGTTATGGGGTATTTTAAAAATACGACTAGAGGCATGTTTATTTAACACAGGAATGATCTTATTAAATATTTTGTTAAACTAATTGACAAAGACGACTGCCGAAAAAAGATTGTGGCAGGCTATTTTATTTGGGGTTTATGCATCTTGTTATAAAATGCATGTTGTGCATATTTGACCTTTTCACAATTCAAAATATAGTTGTGACTGGTAGTGTGTATATCAAATACTTTTCCTCAATCTGCAAGAGGGGTTGACTGTTTTAAACGAATTTTGCATTTTTACAGTGATATATTAACGCTTTTCATACTTTGGAAAGTGATGGAGCAGCGAACGGTTGCTATGGATACCAGTCAGATGATTCGCGGTCTGACCAAACTGTAATCTAACTTTATAATTACTAAAACGTCTGAAAGATGCGTAAATGTCCTTTTAAAAGTGGAAGTACGTGTATAAAAACAACTTGCTTCGCACGCTCTTGTCAAACCCTCGCCCACTGCGTCGTTTGACACGGCATCTGCTGAGTTCCGTTTTCCGCATGTGAAAAAAACATAAAGATCCACTACCGGATGCGTTTAGTTTTGGTTTTAACTCAACTTGCTGTCAACCCGGAAAGAGGCTGCGCTCGGGGCACAGGGCTCGTCTTTCCGCGCGGAGCTTTCATCTGTTTTGGCGGATAAACGAGCGTGGATTGTATTCTGAGAGCGCGCTGAACAGCACACATTCAGCAGAACGCGGATGAGTCACGAGCCTTTGGGATTTTGGAAGTGAAGTAAGTTGATATTAGGTGTGGCAGTTATGCGCAATACCGACTTCCTCTCATACCCCGTAATACATATTTCCATGGGAGTTCATGAAAACCTGGTCCAGGTGAACCACACCTGAATCCACCTGTCACGGACACTCTGAAAACTCGCTTTTTATTCCATTTATGCTGGATTTACAGGATTCCCACGTTTATTGAAACTTTTATTTTAAACTTTTATAGTCATTGATTTTTCAAGCTGTGCTCAGCTCTACTATTTTTATCTGCTAGAAATGACTCCGTGTAAGTGTAGCCTCTATAAAATACATTTTAGTTATTATCTAATCACGTGTTACTGGAAAAGTAATGAATTCATTTTTCATAAGGTGTGGGAACCCTGGATTTACTATTGACAGAGTAAAGACAAAAATTACTATTACAAAAAAAAAAGGCTGTTTTTGTTGTTGAATTTTGTGTAAATATTGTAAATATTTGCAGTCATTAAATGTGTTGATATATATATATATACACACACAGTCAAACCAAAAATTATTCAGACACCAGATTTTTTTTTACTAGTGGGTGCAGGAAACTAGGGCTGTGCGATATTGAAGAAAAATGCTATATGCGATAACTCATTAAATAATGCGATATTCGATATGCGATACGATAATGCTTAAAGTGCCACATGCTCAGATGAAACAGTTTTACTCAGCTGTTGCTGAGTCAATTCCATCATCTCCACGGAGGAGCAGGACCGAGCAGGGCACAGACTCACGCGTCCGCGTCCAGGAACGTCTCGTGCACACTCTAAAAATAGCTCACTGAACGTTCTAATGAGCGGGTATCGCGGTTGCGGCACAGTCCGCGAAGAAACGCCAGAAGACGCAACAGATGGCTTTAATGTCATCATGGATGAAAAGAAAGAAAGAAAGGAGATGTGATTTGGTTGATTCAGTAAATTAGCTCAGGTCAGAATAATCATATTTTCTGTCTACATCTGTTAATGTTAGCTTAATTATTTCCTGGATTTTGTATCACCATCCCTAAATGTATGTACATGCAGGAAATGGGATTAAAATCGAAAACATTTTCCCCCATTTTGTGTACCCCCCACTTCTCAAACCAAAGTTACACCCTTGTATGTATGTACCAAGAGTTCCTGTAAAACCACAACAAATTCCTTGTGTTTGCGCACACTTAAGTGGTGAATAAAGCTCATTCTGATTCTGATTCTAATAAGAAAGCACCCCTACAACAACTTCTGAAAGTGAACGGTAGTGTTTTACTCGAGCATTGCATAAAAATGTCATTTTAACATTAGTGTATTCATTTTAACATGAGTTTAGGAACTGAATAATAATAAAGGGGAAAAATAAAATACTGCTTAGTATTTAGTCTTTGAATTCAATATGCACTGATTCTTATTTAAGCTACAAAAGTTATTTAGGTAAGAGCAGTGAGTGATTTTCTCTTTGTCTTTTGTTCATGGCCCCAAATATTGCAAGCTGTAGCGATATGCATATTGCGATATGTACATTTGCGATAATTTCGATATATTGCACAGCCCTACAGGACACTATAGTTCATTTATGTAAGTGAGGATAGCAAAATAAAGTAAACTGTGGCATATTATACCCAAAAATTCTTCATACAGTGAACCACCAGTAAAATTGATAAAAATTTGGGACCAAAAATTATTCTAACACTTTGACCTGACCATGTTTTGCTTAAGAGTCTTCTGACATTATCAAGATGAATTTGTTCTGACACAGTTTAACTCTGAGTTCTTGTCATATTTTATTTATAAACTGTGATAATGTATGAATTGTTAAAGGTGTCTGAATAAATTTTGGTTTGACTATATATATGTGTGTGTGTGTGTACGTATATATGTATCAGACAATTATGAGGTCTGTTTCTGAATCAGTTTCTTTTGTAACATATATTTATGTGTGCGTGTGTGTGTGTAGGCTATATATATATATATATATATATATATACAGTGGGTACGGAAAGTATTCAGACCCCCTTAAATTTTTCACTCTTTGTTATATTGCAGCCATTTGCTAAAATCATTTAAGAAGATGTCAACAATTCTGTGTTTTTCTGTCAATATGGGGTGCTGTGTGTACATTAATGAGGAAAAAAAATTAACTTAAATGATTTTAGCAAATGGCTGCAATATAACAAAGAGTGAAAAATTTAAGGGGGTCTGAATACTTTCCGTACCCACTGTATATATATAAATTATAATGAGGTTTGTTTCTAAATCAATTTCCTTATTTCTTTCAAGTTTATTTACATAGTTACATAGATTTTTTTTTATTTTATTTTTTATAGATCTGGGACATGCCTTACCTGGACAGACAAAATCGGACCTGTGGATTCCTGGATATTGAGGAAAATGAGAACAGTGATAAGTTTTACCGCCGTTATTTTATCTTGGATACTCATGAGAATTTTCTCCTATGGTACATGGACAATCCACAGGTACTGCTCTTTGTTTGCAAGTGCATTCCAGTAGCTTTAAACAGAAGTTGCAGTATAGCTTTACAGAGGATTTTCTTATTTACCTACACTCAAAACCTCAACTTTGCATTCAAAAAATTTTAATCCTGTATTTTTGCATAACTATTTTTACCTGTTTCCTTAAAAAAAACAGAACTTACCTCCGGGAACAGTGTCTGTTGGAAGTCTGCGACTCAGTTACATTTCAAAGGTATCTCATTCTACCATAATATAAAAAGAAATGCAATACTTTTTTTTTTTACAATTACTTATTTAGCTTAAGAAAATTTGATTAAACTTTGTTTGTAGGTTAATGAAGCATCAGTAAAGCAGAAACCGAAAGCAGAATTCTGCTTTGGTAAGTACATAAAGTGGGTATGTTGTTGTTGTTATTGTTGTTTTTCACAGTATCAATAACTTGCTATTAATTATTTATTTATTTATTTGTCTTCCAGTAATAAATGCATTGTCCAGACGGTACTTTCTGCAGGCCAATGATGCTATAGACTCGAAGGAATGGGTCATTGCTCTGAATAATGCCACCAAAATTACGGTATGTGGAGCTTTTTGCATACATACTGTTGTTATTTTTGGGGTTTTCTTTGTCATATTTCATCCATGCTAATAAAAATGATAGACCTGGACTTAATAAAATAAGCATTCTTAGTTAGGAGATGAAAGATGAGATTATACTTTGATTAATGCAAAGTCTGTACTTTTTAGTTTAGTTTGGCCAGTTGTATTTGAATAAACTAATGAAACTTTATGCATATACTGTATATTAATCAGTACATATCTTTTTAAGGTTCCAAAAGCATCACCAGTGGCCCAAAGCTCTGATGCCACAAATGTTTCAAACCCAAGTCAGTCAACATCTCGACAGGCGTATAAAACAGAAATTGTGGGAGGTGTGGTTGTGCACACGCCAGTTCAGCAGGTGACAGATTTGTATGTGTTCTTTATTCATCTTTTTAATTTAGGATCAAATGAATATGAATCTGTTGTGCTTTCCTCAGAGCGATAATGAGGACGTCTTCACGACTGAACTAGGATCACACGTCACTTTAAGGAGATGCCAGAGCGTGCGTCCAAATGTCGTGAGGTCTGGCTACTGTGTCAAGCAAGGAAATGTGGTAAGACCAGTGTCTTGTGAGCTGAGTATAATCAGCTTTAGCAGGTAATATGCTGTGGATGTAGTTGTTAAAGGAATAGTTCACCCAAAAATGAAAAATTGCTAAAAATGTACTCATCCTCAGGCCATCCAAGATGTAGATGAGTTTGTTTCTTCATCGGAACAGATTTGGAGAAATTTAGCATTACGTCACTTGATCACCAATGGATCCTCTGCAGTGAATGGGTGCCGTCAGAATGAGAGACCAAACAGCTGACAAAAACATCACAGTAATCCACACCACTCCAGTCCATCAATTAATGATGTAAATAAAAAAAAAAAGTTTGTTAGTAATCTGTTCAGATGAAGAAACAAAATCATCTACTTCTTGGATGGCCTGATGGTGAGTACATTTACAGCAAATTTTTATTTCTGGGCAAACTATTCCTTTTAATTTTGCATATTGTTGGGCTTATGCAGTTCTTAGTTGTATTACATGATTTCTGATAAATATAATTTCGTATAATATGTAATTGGATTGGCAATTGATGCCCAATGTAAAATCTGGGCACTGCAAAACTAGGAACACTGCTATAAAAACGTGTTAAAAAAATGTTGTCATCACAATTAAATGTTTTCAGAGGAAAAGCTGGAAGAGGAGGTTTTTTATTCTAGATGACCAAACTGTGAGCTACTATAAATCTGAAATGGTGAGATGCTGGTATGGTAAACTCTTTAAAAGAATGCAAATACTTTATATAATGAACAGATATGTAAACCAGTACTCCATCTGTTTAGGATAAGGAACCATTGCGCAGTATTCGATTGCGGGATGTGCTGAAAGTTAACGAGTGTCTTGTGAAATCAGGGTGAGAATATTGGTTTCTTTTTTGTCTGTTCACAATATTTTGGTCACCAAAAATGGCATGTCTGTACTGGAGCTTTCAAGGTTTAAAATATATACATATATACAGTGCCTTGCGAATGTATTCATACCCCTTCATTTTTTTCACATTTTGTTTTGTTGCTGCCTTATGATAAACTGCTTTAAATTAGTTTTTTTCCACAACAATCTACACTCCATACACCATAATTGTCAAGCAAAAAAAACAGGTTTTTAACATCTTTGCAAATTTATTAAAAATAAAAAA